CCAAGTGCTGCGTGATCTGCTGGGCTGTAGAGGAAAACTGATGCCGGTGTTTTGTGAGTTCTCGGAACAACAGCATCGGTAAGATGTGATTGGAATGTCTCCTTTCGTAATTGGTGTAAAACTAGAACCACTAGAATGGTCGTCTCCACTGTCAGATGATAGTTGTTCTCGATGTACAACAGGAATAACGGCAGACCTGTCTACTTTAGAGCCTTTCTTGAAATTTGACAATACGTTCATCTCTTCTTGAGATGTATTTTCTGGCATACTTAGTTTACTTGCCATCAGCTGAGAGACTGCTGCTTGTATTCTGAAGTAAAACGCTGATACTATTGATTTTGAGTTTGAAACTGCACTTATAAAAAGGTCAACTGTTTTCCATAGAACCCTCAAGGTAACATTCTTAGTTGCCTTCCCTTTTAGTGCATGAACGTAACTGCAAACCGCCTCCCCTGCAGAAAGCGTGAAAACTGTCATTGTATAAGCCATGATCATGGAAATTATATTTCTGCATTCCTTGACTCTCCAAGTGTTTTTTATGCCTGCAAGAAAGCCTTTGAAGCAGACATAACTTGTCCGTTTTAAGATCAGCACCAAACGAACCATTGCGTCAGTCACACCGCTTAAGACGTTAAGTGTGTTGTGTCCTGGCACACAATCATTGCTTTTTGCTAGCGGAGAGGTAATGTTTTGTGATTCCTTTGATCTCATCGCAGGCGCATAGTCATTCTCAACCTCGCCATTTGGCCGGTCGTGACTTGTAGGTCTTTGTGTTTCCTCATCCATATCAACAGACCACTGTCGCACAAACCGTTTTGGTGCCGAGCTTGAAATTGGGTTACATTTCGTATGCGGATTTACCTTTAAAACCTGGTTAAGCTGATCACTTTGATTGTTCAATCCTTGACTCACATGCTTCTCATTCCAAACGTCAGAATACCTCCCCCAGTGATAACAGATCGACTTTAAACTTGAGACAGCTTTTTTCGGTATAAGATCTTTGCCTTTCTTCTCCACATGTTCTTCAAATTTACGAGGCTTAAGAAGATGTTTGTAGTGAGTTCTTTCCTGTCTCTTACCGCAAGACTCCTCCCATAAAGAGGGTCTGGTACTAGGGACAGCTTTCTCTGTCTTACGAAAATTCCTTTTGCTTGAAACACATTCTTCAACTCTCGCTATCTTGTTGACGGTAAACGGAATTGGCAGCCTGTCGTTATTTGCGTTATTTCCGTTGATTAAAGTCTCCTTTTGTTTGTAAGGTTTTTTGTTCCTCTCACTTTGGTTTGGTTTCTTGACTTGGCGATTTCCTGAATTTTCAGATGCAACAGGAGGTACTGTGCCATTGCCTCTGGAGGTAATTGTAGTCAGTGTAGGCTCTTTTTGCTGCCTTGTGTCCGTTCTAGCATTTATCTGCCTGAGTACGCAAATAAAACTTTTATAAAACTTCTTCTTTATCCATTTCCACTTTTTCTTCACCAACTTTAAGATAAAGAATGCGAACGCGCCGATAATAAATATATTGCTTAAGAAACCGCTTACGCTATCCATGTTAGAGTTTTTCTTTCCACAAGATCTCTGACTAAACTTTTTTTCTTATTTCATTTGTGACGATATTCTGTTGCTACTGTTGCGTCATCGCTTATTTCCGCGCGCGCCATTCAGCGCGCGCTGCACAAAACACAGCAGTCACGAAAAGCCAACTTTACACCGACTATGGATAACTGCATGGACAAACCGAAAAATGAAGTATTGGCATGGTAGTAAATATGTAAATGACAACCCAATGTTGAATTTTCTGGAAAACTTTCTCAGGGTATAGACGACATTTTCAACACTAAAATGTTTTCCCGCATGTTTGTTCAGCTCGAAAGTGTACTTTAATGAACGCATGTGTTAATCGAAGTTACTTACTGCCATGGGTATCATTGTTAGAAATGTTTAAACCGATATTGCATTCGCAAAGAAACTGCTGTTTGGTGGAGAGGCGGGAGATTCCGCTTGCAAAGAAAAAAAGACCTTTCTGATAGGTTATCACTCGGAATGCTCCGTCAAAATATGATCTGAGTATCTAACAAGAACGTAAGTAGGAAAAGTAGGAAAATAACTCTTTTAAACGGAGAGTTGTTTAAAAACATCTGTTTGAATGAATCAATAAAGTAAATGAAGATGCATGATGGATTAAGTAATTCTATACTTGACATATATTTGATGTTTTTCCTTGAAAATTAAAGTACTTATAGTGACGTTGATATTATTTTGACAGACCATGCACTGATTGCCTTTAGAACCTTTGTAAGGAGTGAAGTATTTTGGGCGATTACTACATTTCTGAATTCCCAGTTTTTTTAAAATGAATTCCCTTTTTTTTAAAAGTCAAACCCGAGACACTATCCCTGGAATTTTTTAGCAAATTATCAGTTGTTTACGAGCAAACAGTTAAATGATAATTTAGTCGTAAATATCTTTTCCCATTTACATGTTTACAGGTCCTTCAGAGACAAGGTGCTGTATAGAAACAGATGCTGGATTCACAAAAGCCAACGTGTATGAACCGGGTGGAAACAAACATTATTTCTGTATCTACTTCGCTAGAGGGTGTTGCCATTTGGGGTCTGAATGTGGATACTTTCACGTGATACCCACAGATAAAGATGAACAAAGGTCAGTGGGTCTTGCTAAATGCTCTGTTTTTCATTGATATTGAGAAAATCAATCTTCGGCGTTACCCGAACGGATAAAATTTAAGCAAAAGTCAGTAAGAGTGCTTTTAATTAAGGTTTTACGAAGTAAGCGTAATGGTGGTTGAGTTCCCCAGAGCCAAAAACACCAGTATAAGTGTTGCTAAAGCAAAAGGGCCTCGGAAATGCAAAAAGCAAACAAACGAACAAGTCTCTTTTTCGGAATTTTATTGGTCCGTTTGCAAAAAAACTTTGTTGAGAGTATTATGTTTGCAAAAAACTTTGCGATTGGATAATCGTCTTCCAAGTGCCCCCGTTAGAGTAGTTGCACTTAAACACAGCTGATATTTCATTGTAGAATCGATCTTGCCCATGACGTTTTTGGCCGAGAGCGTCACCGCCTTCACAAGGATGATATGGGTGGAGTGGGTACATTTGACAAGGAATGCAGGACACTGTATGTTGGAGGATTGGCTAATCGAACGAAACTGGAGAAACTTCTGTGGTCTGAGTTTGGCGAGTGGGGTGAAATTGAGGTAAAAATATACATTGCCCGTAATAAAAGCAAGAAGTGTGTATTAGTAACACAACAACTTTGCACGTGCATCACGCTTTTTTGTGCATTTCTTTGCTGTCACTGTACTACTATGACTTGGAAATGTCTATTTTTACGTTTTTTGCACGTGGAGGACGTCAACACTCGACGTTCTTTTTCTTTTCCTGAACTGCGGATTTGGATTTGGATTTGAATGAGACTGAATTAATTGAGTTTTAAGTGACGTTTTCGCAAAGATGAAGCTCGGTTTCGCCCGCATATAGCGGACGTTAGTGGAGGCTCTCGTAAACGGCCATGATCTCTATTACCGTCACCTTTAGACATTTCTCTTTGTGTTTATCGATTCGATCTGTAAGTCTTTGGCTCTTGTTATCTTTTCCATGGCCTTATTCTTTCCTTTTTACCCTCTAGGACTTGAGAGTGATACCAAAACGCAACATTGCGTTTGTGCGCTACAAGAACAGGGTGAATGCGGAGTTTGCAAAGGTGTGGTGTGAACTGTTTCGTTACAAATTTAACTGGGTGCGTTAGGTTTGCAAAAGATAGACAACGGGAAAGGTGTTGGAAAGGAAGGAGAAGTGGGGGAGATCCGCGAACGCGCGAGGTGTCCCTTCTCCTCGCGTGATCGTTACACTCTCACCCTTTCCCCCTTGAGAACCTCCTTATCACGGACTATGCAATACCTAGTTGATTCGAGTCAATAATGTTCAGTGAATATTCCTAGTTTCTTAATGTTGTTACTGTTCTTCGTTACGACCTTGAAGACTCTGTAACAGTGTCACTTTAACCCTTTGACTAAAACACGAGAATCTCGAAAATATACCATTCGGTTCATCCAAAAAACTGTTCATTTTTATCTTTCGAGAATTATCCGTCTCTCAGTTTTCCCCACTATTAAAGGCGATGTTAAACGAGACGATTCGCGACTACGATTTTTAGCGCAACACAGCGTTGCAGTGTTGAAACAGTATTGTAACTATTCGAAACAATGTTGCAACGCTGTGTTGCGCTTAAAATCGTCGTCGCGAATCGTCTCTTGTAGCATCACCTTAAAGCCCAACGGCAAAAAGGCAATGGGCTAGATTAGCAAAACAGCAACTTTGTACATACATCACGCTTTTTTTTTACACTTCTTAGCCGTCGTTGCACTACTGCAACGTGAGAGTGCCTAATTTCACGTTTTGTTGAGGACAGATACACAAGACAACAACTTTCTTTTTCTTTCCCTGAACTTTGATAAAGTGCTTCAGAATTAAACTGGAATAAGCGCCATAAAGTTTGAGGCAGCGCGAATCACACTTTTTAAGTGACGTTTTCGTAGAAGTCGCTGTCCTTGTTGCTTAAGCTCCTAAATGCCAAAGTAAGACTGATACGGGAAAGTCTAGTCCAGCTTAGGTGTTATGAGGAGATGTCGTTGAGGACACGCTAGTTTTTTTCGGCGAAGGTGTTCCAGAGACGTGTCATTTGTGTTTTTAAGTATGATTATATTGAGATTTTTGTTCTGTTCTCTAGATCGCAATGTCAGACCAGAAGTTAAACAATAGAGAATTGCTCAATGTAAGATGGGCTTTTGATGACCCTAATCCTAAAGCAAGGAAGGAGGTGAGCACTTGTAGTTAGCGTTTCTAAAATACATGTTAAATTGGACTCTGTGAACTCCTTTGATTAATATAATGACCTTGCTTCCCCCGTTCGAACAAAAAGAGAAATTGATCGGGAAAAGTTATCCCGTCAAAGAAAGGACAAATCCAAGCTATTTGCTCTTGCTTGTCTAAGTCCGAATCTGGCGTGGTTCTCAGGCGTTCCGAAGTAGCTCTTTTAAACATTGACAGTTTAAACTCGGATCGTCTGGGAACGAGGCTATTGGAAGCACCAAATGAAGACTCAGACGACTTATCCATCCTCGACTTTACAACTTAGCGATATTTTCATTGCTCAAGGCTAAATTTAGCATCTTTCTGACCAACCTTTGTTTTGTTTTTGTTTTTGTTTTGTTCTATTTTTTTCAGGAACTTTTAAGAGCGAAAAAGAAGGTACTCGAGGCCGCATCAGAGAGAGGTTTACTTCAAAAGGCCCTTTTGCGCTCCCGCGACCCACCAGGTGGCCAGGTAACAGGGCCTTATCCAGATACAAACAACCAGTACCCCGTGGAATGTGGCCCTATGAGCAAGGAACAGTTCCAACAGGTATAGGTTTGCTTCGCTGTTTTAAACCGTTTTTTTCTACTCTTAGTTAATTTCCCTGGGGTTAAATATATAGTAAAATTAAATAAAATCATTTTTTGTTACTTATCCCTTAACTTTCGTGTCTGTACACAAAATCCTAGGCCTTACCATTTTAATTGGCTTCAAAAGGTACTTTTTTCGTGCTCGCACTAGGATTGTTCTTACTTTTGAGTCTCTGTACGAAGTATTTAGATGAAATCAGGGCTTTTCAAGAGAAATTTCAGATGACGCTATTTGTGGTGTATAAATGGGTTTTAACTTTTGGGTATGTAGATCGGGAATCATGTGTTAAAAAAGCTTGGCAAGGGAATGAGCGCGGGAGACGAGAAAAAAAATAAAGAACGAGAACAAAACAGAGAATTGGAAATGAAGCTACTGATAGAACTGGGGTTCAAGTTAGGGTTTGTTCTACTTGTTCCCATTTTTCATTTTCCCGTTCCCTGAGTTCGTTTTCACCCTTTAAACCCTAAGATCAAAATTTGAATTCTCATTTGTTGCCCATATTCATTTCCTACAGAAGTAGTGGGGAGAAGTTGATATAATATCAGGCAAATTCATCTTGTGTGATCACGTCTTTGATTCTCATGACCACTTTATTTTACAAAGCATTGATATTACAAGGAGAAATTTGATGCTGATCACTCTTAGGGCTTAAAGGGTTAAGCGCCCCGTTTTAGTAACATCCCAGTCTTTGGAAGTTCAAAAATATGAAACGATATGATAACGCATGAGCTCTGCAACCATAGAATTAAATCCTACGGTTTCTTTTTCCTGTTTCAGGCTGAAATACTAGAGAATGTGTACACAGACTGTACGAGGTTGGACGAGGCTCTGAAGAGAGGAGAGGCACTCCACGCTAAAGAGGCGGACAATAGTGAAGCAGTTCATTCACAGCCCTCTGAATACTCTGAGTACAGTAGTGCAGAGAACACACAAGCTACAGAGACAGATTGGAACAGTGATAATTATTACTCACAGACAGGATATTATAGCTACGATTGTAGCCAAGCATGGGACTATTCGCAGTATTATCAAACTGATGACTCGTGTTCAACTAAGGATCCTTACAGAGAGATACTTGCGTCCAGCGCTAAAGACAATTCCGAAGCTTCCAATAGCTAACGAACCAAGGTCCGATCTTGAATCAACGGGTACGTTAGTATGCCAGGGAATGCCCCACTTGCCAACGAACTTAGCTCCGATGAAGGATCGATTGAGACGCAATTACACGTCAAAGAATCTACAGCTAGCTAGCCTGCGTAGCAAGCGTTTCCGTGCGGTTTAGGAACTAAGAAAGAGGAACGAGTGTCAAAGACCGCTAGAAAAATGGCGCGAGGTTAAGAGCGGGGAGAGGGTGGGGAAGAAATGGAGGAACTTCCTCTTTCCTTCCTTCCCCTTCCTTTCCCCCCTCCTTCATTTTTTGGCTTTCGTTCCGTTTCTCTTTCTCATTTTTCGATCCCCGAATCGACTGAGGGCAGAAGAAACGCCAATGATTTCATTTCCGAACTAAAGTTTGGATTCAGTTTTCCAAGTCTTCTTTCCTTTTTAGAATAGACCTTCTTCACGTGCTTTAGGATGGATGGGATAAAAGCGATGTCACGTGGTATTTCGGGGGCGGGGCAAACTCATGAAAACATTTGCCAATAAGAGTAATCGCAGTCGAGTTTGTTTATTCTCTCAAATCGAGACCACAATTTTAGTCTCGCTGAGAATGTACAGTTCGAGGATCGACAAGTCTTTACGTCATTATCGCTTGCTGTGAGGACGTGCACAGTCGCTGCTGTATCCAAACATGGGAACAATGATGACTTTCAGCCATAATTTGCCATTATCGTCTTAACGATGACGTCGTTATTTTACTACAACTAACAAAATCCAAGCGTTTCTTTGAGATGATCGGGATCAGGATCAGTGATCCTACATCACTTGGACCATGGTAGATCAAATGAACCGATGAATCGTTGTCCGTATCACTGATTCTGATCCGGATCATCTCAAAGGAATGCACCCTAAGACTCTCGTTCCTTAAACTGCACTGGGATTAATAAATTTGAAGAAGAAAGCAGAAACGAAATGAATTGTGGTAGCTGAGGTTCAATGACGTCACTGTGGAGATGCACTGTGTTGTAGTGCGTTATAAAGCGTTTTCACTCACGTGACTTGCATCTATGTAAATGTATTGCAACAAAAGAAAGCGTTTACATAAGAAAAGAGTGCAAATCCCACCGGATTTGTATAGGTAATAGCATGATTTGTAGTAATATTTGGCATAAATACCACGAGTGATATTTCGAAATTGTTATACGTAATTTCACGAGCCGTTAGGCGAGTGAAATTTGAGACAATTTTGAAATAATTTTGAAATATCACGAGTGGTATTTGTGCCAAATATGACGTACAAATCATGCTATTATTTGTTGATACTACTACCCGCAAAAGGTTTGTAAATTTCACAAGTAGGTATTTCAAATTAAGCTGAAATACCACTGCTCTGAGCCAATCAAATTGCAGAAATTTTTCATGTAGTAGTATAATGTTTGGAACACCAACAGTGTCTACGTTAATTGTTTTGGAACAATGGCCGCAGTGACGTTTTGTGAAAACGTTCCCTACTGTCTGTCCTCGTTGGAGAAATTTACATAAAACAAGAATTGTTTTCACCAATTTTAAAATAATCCTCATATTCTGAATGTACAAAGAACTGATCTTTAATTACTAAAAGTTTTAGTTCTCACTCGGGTAATATAATAAACATACGAGTTCGCTTAAAGTCGCTTTAAACGCGCTATGTGTTAGTAATAAAATGACTAAAGAGCATCACAAAATGGAAAGTCGATGAGCCACTGGCAGAACACTTGACAGGGGGTCGCTCCGGACTCCCCTTAAAAGATTTTTTTTTCGTTTTTGTTCGTCACGTGACGTTGGATGTTCTGTGTTGTCGTTTGCGGGTACATTATTAGCATCATTGAAACCGAGCAGTTCAGTAAGTTAGCATTTTTGGTTTTAGGCATTTTTTTCCTTTCGTTTTTACATTTCAGAGCAATTGTTATTGCAAACTTGGGTAGTTTTGCCTGTAATTTTTCTTTATCAGAAAACCACCTACAGCTACGGGGTCGACGGTGTGCAAATCTTTGTTTGAGTAAGATTTTTTGATGCGAGATATGTGGGTTTTCGACGTTCGAAAATATAGTTGCAGAAAAAAAATAAGTTCATATGAGTCTGTTGTGATTCGTATCTACAGGGGGTTATTCTAATGCATCAATCATTTTCCAAGCGCTGCAAGAACAACTACCATGGACTTCCCTACCGGCCAGAGGCAATCTAATAATATCAAGTGCTCTACATATTGTAACGCTTTCAAAATGCAGTGTGACATTCCTCATTCGCCATAATTAAAAAACAAGGTCTTTTTTTATTATTTGCACGCACATTTTCGAGTTTTGGGATCACAAACTAAAACAGTGACAAAAAAACCCATCCGAACCCAGGCAATATCTCAGGGTCCGATAACTGGTCCGGATCCGATTTTTCCGTAGTCTTATTACTCCTTTAAGAAAATTTAAAAGTTGCCTCTATTTTTCTGAAAGACCTTTGTCACGCGGCGGCCATTTTGTCCCAAGAGACTGAAAAAGCTTTGTGTTTGCACGGCTGGCCTCGTTCTCACTGCGAGGCTAACTGTGCAAAACTCTTTTAATCTCCTGGGACAAAATTACCTCCGCGTGACAAAGGTCTACTGCAGTCTCTCTTCGTTTCTCAGTTTATTAACGCGAAATTATCCCCACGAAGGAACATGTGACGTCACAATTGATAACATGGGTTACGAAAGAAAAATCATCTCTGATCCGCTTACTCTCTTCGGCGACAAGGAGAGGGGAGTTGTACGCGCTTCTCAGGACTAAAATGCAACGATCTGCTCGCACGTGTATGTCTTTCAAAAATGTGACATGTTAAAGAGGTTCCAAAGCGCATACGCAGTAACAAAACAGAGTTAAAAAAAGTATACAAATAGACTTTAATAAGAATGAAAAACAAAAAAATGTTGTCGAATATTTACAAGAGGAAGCCGAGTCTGTTTGAAGCATGATTAATCGTTCTATGATGAATATATCATCAAATAAAAGAAACGTTAAACGTTTGTACAAATTATTGGAGCGATGGACATTCATACAAAAACTACAATAAGCAAACTTTTCTTGGTAGTTGCAATATGGGCATGCGGTGACCATCCCAGCTTGTCGCTCGGAGGACAAAAGTAAAACTTTAGCTTTTTTACCAAAGACAATACAAATGCCGCATATCATCAGCTCATCCACTTGGCGCAGGTTGTTTCCACCATGCTCTAAGATGGAAAAAAAAGACAGACCAAAGTTAGTCGTATCACCGATGGAACCGTTTTTAAGTGGTCCTTTGTAACCACAGAGTGAGTTCGCGAGAGTTTGCGAGATAGGTATTTCTAGTTACTATTATTATTATTATTATTATTATTATTATTATTATCATTAGAACACGCAAACTGAAGCCCACTACCCTAAGCTCCGACTCAGCAGCATCTCCCCTACACAAGAAACCCAGGCAGTAATTATAAATAAAGGTTGACAATAGTTTACAGCCAGCTCATCTACTTGGTAGTTCTTTGCTCGTCTACCAGATCCCTGATCAAGTGTAGGCTGTTGAGGAGAGGGGCTGGGGCGGAAATCGGAGCACCGGAGAAAGAGTGTAGAATCAATAACAAACTCAACAAGCCGGAAAGAGCGTTGTCACTCCCAGGCAACAATGGTGGGAGCGAGGCGATTACTCTCACCAATACGCCCCACCTACTTCCTGGCACGATATGTACTGACTGTGCGCGCTATAAAGATACAGTTGAACTTCCGGTAGACGACCGCTAAAAATGCAAAGACTGAAGGGTCGCTTACGGGAGGTGGTCCTTTACAAGAATCGAACCACAAGGGGCCTCTTCCAAGAAGAGGTCCGGGCACATCTACTTTATGGAAGATAGTTTATTACATACAATTTTTACGTTACGCCATGCGTAGGTCCATGTTGTTAGTAAGTTCTTTGTATATTCTAAAAATAGGGTCATGTCAGGCAGCTGCTTGGAAAGAAGTCACCAATGCTGCGTTTCCCAAACCCCAAACAATACTAAAACAATTGGAAGAATAAGGAGAGACCTTCCGAGCAGCTGCTACATTAGTTAGCACAGTCACATAGCAAACACAGAGATCAGAGAATGCCTCAAGTGGTCGCTTACAAGAGGTTAAAAACAGTGGAAAATCTTTAACCATCAGGCCCATAAAACTGGTTGCGGTCGCTTACAGGAGGTGGTCGTTTACTAGAGGTTCCTACTGTAAGGCTCTGACTGGGAAGGTTTTGGTGTTTTGGATTAGCGGTCGCTTATGGGAGGTGGTTGCTTACGAGAGATGGTCCTACACGGAGGTTCGACTGTAACAAAATCAGCGACCGAAGCAATTACGGTTACTTTCAGAAAACATACTGTTATTAAATGTTTAACTGGGAAAGAAAAAATTATTAACTCTAACGGGATGGAATACTCTCGGGGAGCGTTAACCCCAAAGGCCCTCATTTGAATAGGTTTACTGACAAACATCAAAAGTGTGCGACTATATTGACAGTATTGGGTCTCTAAAGGTAGTTTACAAAACGCTACACAAGACAGTGGTAGATCCAGTCCTTCAGATGGGGGGGGCGGTCATCCAGACCCTGAGATAAGGGAGGGGGGATGGATCCGCCACTGCAAGAGCTTCGGAGACATTCTTAGTCAATGGAAGCGCGCGCACACCGACAGATCACAGAGAGATTTGCAATCATATTTGGAATCACGTTTTGGAAAAGAGAACACAGTCAAGTGAACAAGAACCCTAGAAAGGATTCATCTAGCATCCTCAACGGCAGACATTGCAAAAGTGCAATACGCTAGCTTTAAGAACATCTTCATGCTATTCCTGCTTGAGAGTAGAAGGCATCAGTACAAGGTCGTGGTACCCAGGCCCCACACGGACAAGAATCTTACAACTCGGAAAACATCACGGTGAAGAAACGGGAGATGAATAATGAAGTGCCCAGGCCCCACTCCGACAATCACAAATGGTGTTGCTGCTCGCAGGAGCGTAGCCTCCATATACGAACATACGACCGTGTGTACAGTTCAAATCTCTGGAAAGGCAGTAAATAGAATTTTTGTGAACGCCTAAATTGGCATTTTTTTTCTTGGGGGGAGGGGGGTGGAACATACTTCTACACCCCCTAGTTTGCAGTACCTCCGAGGGTCTAACCTTTCTTTCCGTGCATACACCTTCAAAACCTCACGTTACGACGACGGCTCGCAGCAACAAAAGTTTATTTTATCCCAGTAGAGGGAGAAATTCTCTTTGGTTTACCTAAGACAACCTTAGTAAAAGGTTTAACTAAACTTTGCTTTTCACGCGAAGTTTTATCCACAAATTTAAGTAGAATGAAGACGCTCTGCTCCTCCATTAATGAACTCAAACTAAACCACAGCGTTGAAATTAGGTAACCGACAAAAGATGACTCTGCTGCTCTTTTAACAGTATTTACTTTTACAGTAGGTGAACAGCATCTATACTTGAAGAGTAAGTAAGTATCTAAAATCCTTATGCTAACGAGGAAAAATGTAAAGATATCACTAATAAACGGCTTTGGCCCATGGATCATATAGAAACTGATTATTAGTTAATTAAAGACGCAATCACTATCACTGGACTTACTCATTTAGGGTGACTCTGCTAAGAAATTGACCGAGATTCATCACTAAAACATTCGGACACTGAGGAAACACTTTTTAATGGCGTAGAAACAATACAACTTTGTTTAATTTTTCAGGGATGTTTAAAAGGTTTACATCCATCAGCATTTGTTAAAAAACGCAAAAATCACCGTTCATTTTATCGCGCAAGAGACTACCTCGGAGTTAAATATTGTGCACTTTAACAGTGTAAATAGATGATTTGGGGGACTTACAGGAGTAGGTAGAGTCAGGGGCCATACGTAGCCATAGCTCTT